TCTGGAGCATTCTGCAGGGAGCAGTGCTGGGCACCCTGCAAAGCTGGGAGGAAGTGTGCCACCATGCCCAACAAGCACAGGCTCTCTCCCAGACAGTACTAACAGGAATCCAGAATTACACAGAACAGAATACACCAATGTCTTCATCCCATCACACTCCTGTGGAGATCAGTAGATGTTCTTCCACTGACTTCTATAGAAATCTGAATTGCTTAACCTTGGTAGAGGGCCAGGACACGTAAATCCTGTCCTGTAAATTTAGATCAGAAGACCATTTCTGTGACTTCCAGATTAGGAGATCTACATCTCCATTATAATACATCTGACTAAGAGGATTTAAGTTTTATATGCAGTTAAGCTCCTTGGGGTTCCAACCACTTGATTCCTAATTCAAAAGAAGTAGGTGCGAATGCTCACAAACTGCTTTCTCATACTGTCATGGCAACGAAATCCTCATAGCTGCAATGTCATTGTTAGTCACATGGCAAAGGACAGAGGATGTTCTCTGCCTCCATCCCTCTCAAAGGTTAATACCACAAAAAGTCCTGTTCCAAAACACTGAAACATCTACTACTGGAACATCTATTTCAGGATCACTGTAATGCATGTTTTTTCATACATATTGGCATTCTCTTGAATGCCCTGTGTTCTCTGCTCTTCTTTGATAAACCAGTATTATTACTACTCAAACCTACCTGGTTTTTTTGGAATATATTTTAAGAAATATGAAAAGACTGTCTGGGTAAGAGTAAATAGGGGACCTCAAGATTAATTTGTTACACGGGACCTCACAATTAATTTGTGAAATAATTCTAAATAAAAAAGTATAGTCTTTGTAAACAGTACCAGTCGGTGAAATATGCTGAATGCTTATAAGAACTGACTTCTACATGCTAAAAAAAAATTTAAAAAATCAACTAGAACAAAGTTTAAAATACGTCTTTTAATAGATTATTAATTTCTACAGTGCTACAGAATTAACAGTCACTAAAACAAATATCTGAATCTATAGATCAAAAAAATATTATATTTTTTGCAAATAAATAAGTTATTAGAAGTATCATATTGTGTTGCTTTCCTGTCTGTGTAAACTTCTAATGATAACCATTTTAGAAGAAATAACAATAATAAGCAGTTGCAGTGCATTTACATTAAGAAACTTGAAGAACAATTCTATACATATACATTCTATACACTTAGATAATTTTTTCTGCACTTACACTTTTACAAAGCCATAAACTGAAAGGACATTCAAATACATTCAAGACCAAACAGAGAGGCAGGAGAGTATGAATAAAAGGACAGCATGTTTCAGGTGGTACAACATGACACCGAAAGTATTGTACATCACCAGCCACTCCCAGCTGCAGGCGTGAAACTGTCAGCAACTTCCTCGAGAGGGCTGGAGTCACCCAGCATTCAGTTCCCTGCAGTTCTCTTGGGACAGCTCTCAGTTCACTTGTCAGATTTGCTTTTGTGACCTAACAGTTCTCTCCATCTGGGAAGTCATGGGGATGAATCAGCTGGGGACATCTGGCACTCCTCGAGACCCCAGAATGGCACCGGTGGCACCGCGGTGCCTGACACCAACCCGAGAGTGCCACCCACTGTGGAGCTGTGCCCTCCTGGAAGGAGATCATGGAGCTGCCCTTGGCACTCTGAAACCTGCCCTTCAGCAGCCTGGAAAAGCATCCCAGGCAGTAACAATACTGAAACTCATTTGAGCAAGAGAACACAGAGCTCTGCGGAAAAATGGGGAGTTTGTTCTTTAAACAGCCATTGTAACAAACACAGAATGAAACATTTTAATGGGCTACAGGTAATCATCTATAAAAACTGCAGGTTCAGCATGAATTTAAATTGTAAACTGGTAATAAATAATACAGTAAGTCTCAGCACATTTTAGAATATACATTATGAAATAAACTTTGATTTTCAGAAAAGCTTTCACCTTTTTTTAAAAAAACCCACTTAAAAAATCCTGCATGAAATGCAGCGTTTGCCTGCCTGAAAATTTTGATTTATGAGGCCCTACTACCTAGTGCAGAACATTTATTTGTATTAACTTTCCTTTCTTTTTTTTCTTTCTAAGGCAGATTAGGCAAGAGCTTGATTGAAAAACTGTTAACGTCATTTAAACTAATTTGAAATTATAAATTATTGTAACGATTGTGAATTGGTTTCATTCTGGTTTATTTAGTAACCATACACATATCCTAATATCCACTGAAGTAAGCTACTGTGAAGACTAAGAGTACAACAATCAGAGCAGTAGCTAGACCTAGATTTAAAATGTACCTAGATTTAAAATATTTCCATCTGGTCACAGAACAGGTCTCCATGCATCTCTCTGTTAACTAGACTTGCAATCTATCCAAGAACATGAACCTGGCTAAATGTTATGTTCAATGGGAATGGGAAACAGCACCCTGCACCATTTCTCCAAGTCAGTTTATGTTGAACTGAGCTGTTGAGGTTGGTGTGCCATGCCCATCCTGGCAGACCTGTCCATCTCCAGACATGTAGGCTAACAGATAGCAAACCAGAGCTGAGTGGAGTGGGAAAGCCTCTCTGTAACACACCCTCTGTGCACAGAGATCCTCCAGCTGATCCCCTGAGCTCCCTCAGCACACAGTAATGACAGCACACTGAGTAATCACAGCTTCCTCTCATCTCACATCCTGCAGGGTGGGAGAAATTACATCTATCAGCTACTGCTCACCATGGCCTCAGGGACCCCTTGCCAGGTAACACAGAAGATGCAATACCTCAGCACCATGTTCCTTGCTGCTGGCCATGCCCTGAAGCCAGAATCTGACCTCCAAACATTCTGAGCTGAGCTGTGAAACAACCCAGTCTGCCCCAAAACAGCTTTTCATAGTATGTGAGTGCTGGGAAAAACCTCAAGAAATCCAGCTGCTTTCAGGTAGAGTTTATACAAAAGATGGTTTCTGTTTCTACCAATAGTAGGAAAAGTCACCTGATTAAAAGGAATCTCCCTATTTCTATATACTGCTATTCAAAAAGTTTCATAAAGCCATGCTCTATATAAATTCATTTCAGAAGGCCTATATAGAACAAATAAGAGAATACCTTTATAAAGACAATTTGTTAAAAGACTACATGAAAACATTAGAGATGATGATGTTTGAATACATTCCTAATCTTACCTAAGCAGGAGGATTTAAATGCTTTAGAAAACTAGGAATATTGCAGAGAAAAGACAAAAAGACAGATGTAAAAAAGAAGTTGGAAAGAGAGCACCATATGAAAATCATACTTAAGTTTTAATATCCATTTGACAGGTTAATTAAATGTTTCAAGATGGTATATTGAAATTTAAATATAACTACCTAGGATAAAATCCTAGCTGAAGTCAAGAGCAAGAAGATTTTACCTGCAATTCTCACTATGTTTCAGAAGATATGTTAACAGAACCAGCAACCAGACAAGAGGAAAAGGCCTCAGGCTCTGTCAGGGGAGGCTCAGGTTGGACATCAGGAAGAATTCCTCCATGGAAAGGCTGGTCAGGCATTGGAACTGGCTCCCCAGGGAGGTGGTGGAGTCACCACCCCTGGAAGCATTCAAGAAGCAGCTGGACATGGCACTCAGTGCTACAGTCTAGTTGATGTGATGGTGTTCAGAGGTTGAACTTGGTGACCTTGGAGGTCTTTTCCAACCTTACTGATTGAAAGGAGGCTTCAGGGAAAGGTTTCAGTCAAAAAAACAGAAGGAAGAAAAGAACATGTTGCTTACTTTTTTTAGGTAAATGTCATGTAAACTAATCTACATGGCAATCTCTGGTCAATGAAACATTGAATGTGATACTGAGAGTAAATTTTAGCTTTACTTTTATTAATTCATTATTTAGCAAGAGTGTTTTGTAGCTGTAAATCCAGTTTTAAATCGTATCATTACCTTGTACATTGTTGCTTTATGGAAGTGCAACCCAAGATTGTAGCAAACAGTGTTGGTTTTTTTCATTTCATATGTACAAAAGGATATAAAAATAGATCCTTGATTAACATATGATAATATCCTTAGGCCACAATGAAAATAAATATAAAACACTTATATAGTGCAAGTATTTCCTTTAGTAAGGATACTATCTACAGGACACACTCATCTGATCAAGGATTTCAAATCCAATGCATTTTCAATGAATTGATAGCTATGGTCTTCAGTGAGCTGCTCTGACAGTAAAAAGAGACACAGAACTTAATCCAATCTTAGTTTTTCATATTTCATCACACTCTTCTGTTTGCTAATGGAGATATACTTCCCAAAACTGCCAATATGTTCCTCATAGTTTATAAAACAGTACTGAAAGAATGTTGGACACATACAACTGTTAGTCTGAACACATAATAACACAACTATTTTGTGATTCAGTGTTGTAAATGTAATTAATATTAAAACTTTTAATCATTTTAGCTGCATATAAAACAGAAGTAGTAAGTTAAATTAGAGCACCTTGTGTGAAATTTAAGGAATATAAAGATTACACCTTTTAAAATTTAAAGAAATACAACTGTTCTGTCTCAAGTCCACTATGCACCTGTCACATAAAAGGAAATTCATTTATGTGTAATGAAGACATACATAAATATCACAAATCCAAGGCACAACATGGATTTTAAAAGTTAGTGATATAGCAAATTCTTACTTTTTTAATAAATTACTTAATACACTTTATTCTGGCATATCTACAAATTTCAAAAAGCTGTATTATCATTGAAGCTAAAAATGGAAACTGTCTATTCAAATATGTAGTTCAATCTCTTGCCAACTTTAACTGAAACGCTTCCAAGACACTGCGTGCATTGATAAGCATTGCTGTGTCATTCCATAATTGAACTAATCAGTAGGACCTTTCTTCTGATATTCATTGCCTCTTTCCCTTGTTCCAAATTCATGATAGCTACACCTCCATACTTTTTAAAGTTCTTCCATATTTATCATAGAACAAAGAATTACACATATTAGCAACTCAATCTTTCCCACTTCCACTAGTTTTGTTATTGTTCTCTGAGCTTTCAGAAGATTATCCAATTCTTCATGCCTGAGGTAGCCAAAACATAAGACTCTACTCCAGAAATTACCTCAGCAACCACAAGTATTCTGATTTACAGCTGCCTGATGCAGCTCTTCCACATATGCATACACTTCTTTTGACATCAGTGAAGCCAGAAACAAGACAGGTTTGCTGCCTATATTTCCAAGGCTTCATACCACATTACTACATTTCAATCTTCTCTCTCTTACTCAGTATCCAAGTTTCCTCAAATGCATCACCTTTTCTCTGAATCTGCTAGGCTGTTAGATCAAAACCTTTCAATTTGTTGGACCTCTCCCACTCAAGTATCATATAGTATAAAATCACCTCTAACTTCTATCAGTATACTGTAGATCCTTCCTGCAGATTATTGAAGACATGAAATAGAATTAGGTCAACACAGTATAAACAATTAATGGGGAGGGAGCAATTAAAATTTCCCAATGGGATGAATCAAAGCACAATTTATATTTTAGGATGATATTTTAAATATATTTTATCCCACCAAGCTATTGAAAAGAAGTCAAATAAAGTCAAATATCTCACCATAGCTACAGATTTTCAATGCAATACTGATTTTTCTGCATACATACTTTAAATGTAGAATAGGAAACATGCTGACAATCACCTTTGCTCTGCAAAGGAGTCCCATTCCAGCCACTGATTAGAGAAAGGAAGGCACAACCTGTCTTCTCCTCAGCACAAACTTTTAACCAGTTAATATTATATCTATTACCCTAAGTATCTTTAAAATTACATATGAAAATACAGAGAGGTCTAAATTTGCACTGACAATCAAGAATTCAACTCTTTTCAAAAGTCCTTCTGGAATTCTGCATGTGATAGTGTAATTAAAAAAAGGTTAAACAACGTGCTACAGTACTTATAATTGGAAAGATATTACTTAATATAAAGCTTAAATACCATTCAATTCACCTAGTCTATGAAAAACATCATTACCTAATTTACACTCTGATTTCCAGAAGACTCACTTTCAGTACAACTTATCAACTCTTCTTCTGTTCTTGATAATGACTACAGGTCATAACAGAACTTTCAGAAGAGAAGGCACAGTAGCTAACTATTATAATTCTTAAAGCTACTCATCAACCTATTGAAAAAAAGAAAATATTTCTTTGAAGAAATGAACAATTAAAAACCAAAGTGAATCTGAGGATGAAAAGGTATGTCTCAAAATATATTAATTGCAAAAATAATACAGTCCACAGGCACAGGCACAGTTGTTTATTCTTGTTCCATGTTTTAAAACTTGGACTCAGAAAAATCAGAGGAAGTTTTGGGTCTTTACCCTCTCTTCTTTTCCTTTCCACTGAAAGCACCATGGTTACACAGCTTGATTCAATCGTCCTTTTCCACAATCACTTCTCCATGAAGCACTCTTCTTCTCTGCCGCAGCATGTGGAAGTACAGTTGTGGAAATACTTGATCAAAGCATAAAAGAAAGCAAATTAGATGGAAAAATTCAACAGATCACATAATGGAAAACCACTATTTTACAGAATGATGAACTGAGTAAAAATTATAGCACACAGTGGTTGAGTTGATTAAGGTGAATAATAACAAGTCATGAATATTGCAGTGATTTAAAAAACAATAATTACTCAAAGCTCATTTATCCCTGAATAAATACCCTGTGTTCAAGGAACTTCACTCCAACAGTTTCCTTGTAGAAACAGGATTTCACCACATTCTGGTAGTGCTTGAAGACTTCAAATCTGTCCTAAGCATTTTTGAAGACTTGGAGGAGGATACAAATTTACCCTATTTGTTCAAGTCTGAAGGAAGGAGATCCCTCTTTGCTGTCCCTCTGCCATCTATTATATTACTGTCCTACTAACAGAGTTGATCTTTATATTTAATGGCTAGAAAACTGGGTTTATTCCTACATCTGTTACATAAACAGATGTAAAACTGTTCGTAAGTTATCACACCTTAGAATATTTTTTGTTGACATAAATCTCTCTAGTTGTCCTTCATGACTTCTTAGAACCAAAAATTTAAGTGTGTGCTCATATTGCAAAAGTCCATATTGAATGTTGCCTTCTCAAAGGAATACCTTTCATGAATGCAGATCACAGACTCTTTAACTTCAGTTTTCCTGCTTTTCAATTTCTCTCTCTAATCTGCTGCCTCAATGTACTTAAATGTATTTTAAAATGTATTTTAAAATATATATATTCAATTATTGATATTATCTAAAATATTACATTTGCCTAGTTTGGTCTAGCCCTATTCATGGTGGAATATCTGGTATATCAGGGTGCTTTCTCTTTGTCTTCACTGCTTAGGTAGCAGTGGAGATAACACTGGAAGTGAAAGACAGATAAGATACTCTCTCCACTGTTGCCTCCATGGTTTCTGGCATGCATAAGTACAAGGGTAAACTGATTAAACCAGGGACTGCAGGTGTTCAGAGAGGTTTGGGGGGGATGATTTCTGTGAAAATGAAATCTTAGAGAATACTGCTTCAAGTTTTTCCTGAGCATGCTTGAATGATGGTTTTTCCAAGGTAAATGGTTATTAGTAGTAAAAAGCCACAGCAAATCTCTGGCACAACTTGCAGAACCATTTTAAAGTCATTATTTCAAAGTGGGAGAGGCACTAGAAAGTCCCAGTGACACAGTTACAGACATATCTGTGTGTAAGCAGAAACTTTTCTTACTTCATCCAAGTCTGAGAAATAATTTTAGCATGCTCATTAAAATTTTTAAGGCAGATTATGTTCCTAAGCAGATAACAGGACAGTAAATTTCAGCCTAACCAATTAAAGCACATAAAGCTTGGCACAACAGAAAGCAGGCTCTTACAGTAGAAAGTGTTCAGCAAATTTTAATACAGGCAGTGTTTATAGCATCGCTGAAGATTTATTTTTATGATGTTAAAATGTTTCTATAGTTAAACAGTACTTACATGGCACATAGGAGAACATGACAATAATAAGGAAGTAATAGTAGTCAAAGGAGACGTTGTATTTGTTGGGAAGTCTCAGTGAAAACATTCCTGTTTTCTTCACATAGGGTAAAGCAGCATATATGGTTAGCAGTTCACCTGCAACTCCAGCAGGATACAAAACGATAAAAAAGTTGTATCTGCATTGAAAAATAATAAGAATAAAAAAAAAAAAAACTTGTGAGAAACACTCCGTAAACTTAAAAATTTCTCTTGTTATTATTAGTGGCACACTAATAGAAATACATTTTAAATATGTACATTAGAAATGTATTAAAGTGGTTCCTGCACCAGAATCAGGGATCACATCTTGACTTGACACAAAATATCAGTTTCAGTTACTTTCAGTAGAGTTGCTTGATTGACAAGAGAATTCCTCAGTGCTTTGTTTAAAAACAGAGAAGTGTCAGAACATTTTTATCTCTTTCTAATAGAAGAACCCTCAAATTTTTAGTCTCTGGTAATGAATTTTTTTAAATGTACTATTCTTACTCCTATTGTCACCAACAGGATTCAGACCAGGACTGAATCTCAGATGATCCTACATATTTTCATCACAGTGCACACAGACTGGGTCAGTTGTATGTACTACAAATTGTTTGAAGATAATGACAATGTTGAATAGCATCAAGAGCTTGTTTTACTCACTACAACATGGGAATACTACATTTACCACTAATGGAAATTGTAATAAAAAGAGAAAGGAAAATTACTGTGCCAGAAACTTATCAGATCCATTTTAAAGTGAGATGATGTTCAAATAAAAGGCAAAACATCCAAAGATGAATGTGAAAGAAAATGTGATTTGAATGCCAAAGGCCACATAGGCAGAGACAGAGTGAAAATTGTAATCAAGAGGTTATGTGCTGTCCTTTCACACAGTGCACCAGGAATATGCAGGCTCTCCTATGGAACAATTCTCCAGTTCATATAAGGAACAGCAATGAGAGCTGTCACAGAGAAAGGTATAATGTGCACTCCCTGACCAAAAGAAATGAGATCCAAAACAGCAGCAACTAAGCATGAAATCCTCCTAGAAGCAGAAGGGCTTAGAAGACTCACAGATATGAGGAATCACAGAATAGTTCAGGTTGGAAGGGACCACAATGAGTCACCTGGTTCAGTCTCCCCACTCAAGCAGGGTTATCCTAAGGCACATGGAACAGGATTGTGTCCAGATGGGTTTTGAATATCTCCAGTGAGGGAGACACTGGATTTTCTCTCTGGACAATCTGTTCCAGTGCTTGGTCACCTGCACAGTAAAGAAGTTCTTCCTCATGTTCAGGTGGCACTTCCTGTGCATCAGTTTCTGCCCTTTGCCTCCTGTCCTATTGCTTGGCAGCACCAAGAAGAATGCAGATTAGATAAGAAGGAACTAATACCTTACATATTGTTTGTCTCTATGCAGTTATAAGCTAAAGATCAGAAATTCCATCTCTCTTGGTATTGAATACATGCCCAGTTGTGCTGTTTGTTTATCCATAAATCTTGAAGGGATATTTTAGACTTTATGAAAAAATAATATATTTTAAAATGTGTTATTTATATTAATATTTCACCATATGTCTTTTCAGTAAGAATGTTGGTTTTCCCTACTGTCTATATTATGGAAACAAAATTCTGTTATTCAAGGCACGCTGACCTGATGGTAAAAATTATTATCTGTCAATGTAATTTGTTCTGAGTGCATTTCTCTTTCTGAAGTCTGTATTAAAAAAAACTACTGATGATAGCCAATCTGAATATCTTTAAGTTTGTCATTTAGTGCTTAAACAAGTCTCTCACTTAGGCACTAGCAAAAAAGAAACGTTTTATAAGAATAGACATAAATATCAGACACATCAAAGAAGCACACTAGAAGCATCAAACCTGGATTACCTATAAAACAAAAATAAAGGAAAATAACAAACAAACTCTTTTAAATAGGAGTCATCTGTACTGAATGTAGCTTAGATATTCTTCTTCTAACATAACAAGACTGCCTTACATGTATTTTTCAAATAATTACTACATGGAATACTATTCCAGTCAAGTCTCCTGATAAACACACACGGTCTGTGTAGTGTATGTGATCTAGTGGCCAACCTTAAGAATGCTTCAAAATCAAGACAGTTTTGATTCGGAACTCAATTTTTGTGGCCTAAACTAAGTCAGTATTTAACTTCACTACATGGATATAATCTTACAAAAGCTCTGATAAAGCAGAACTTCTTATAAAGTAATAATACAGACTGAGTGACAACAACTCCCACATTTTCAAAAAACTACCATCCACAAAGACTAGCACAGGTGATTAATTTTGGGCACTGTATTCAGAGCATCATGAAGAGACATACTGCAAATTCAAAGATGAGATAAAAAGATAGAGAAATAAAATTAGAGTAAGTGAAAAAAAATTAGAGTAAGTGAAAGCAGAGTTCAAACTGTGAGACACAGAAAGCAAAGAAAAAAACATACTCCAAAAACATCAGCTAAAATGTTTTTAACATATTAAACCAAACAGCAATGATCCCAAGCACAGACAGCAACTGACTTGCACTTTGCTGACACATAACCAAAGCTCAAACATCTGCTCTCCTGTGTGTTAGTTCAGCATGCATGAAACCAACATGCACAGAACCATGAAAAACTCAAGTGCAAGACATCTCCACCTGGCCCATTTAATGAAGTATGGCAAATGGTTGAGCAGGTTGAATGTGTAGAAGGAATATCGAGTAATCTCTGTCACAGTCCATACCACCAGAAAAAGAATAACGCTCTCCTCATTCTGGATCTGCAGAAGTATAAAGAACCAACATTTTCTTCATTCTTAGGCTTCTTTTCTGTGCAAACTGCAACAGACTTCTCTTTAAGATATATAGAACAGAACTAGTACCTTGTAAAGAAAAACAATTTTGGCACAAAAGTGATATGCTGAAACCATGACCATGTACAGTTCATTATCATATGTGATTACTAACAAACAGACATTTGTCAAATTGAGCAATCTTCCTCCATTATGCAAATATCAAAACATAAAACCCTATAATTATGCTTATTCTTCCTCGGTGTTTTCTACCTACATTCCACTAGACTATCTAACTATCCCCCTTCTATTTGTGGTTTATCTACTTGTTCATGTTTTTTCTCCTCAAAACAGCAAGAACAACAAAATACTACAGAAGGTATGTTCTTCTCATAATCACTTTTTAATCATTCTGCATTTCACTACTCCATTTCCTAGATTTTCTCTTACTTTTCATCTTGCTTCTTCTTCGATATATAATGCACATCTCCATGAAACTTTAGACAAAAGGAATTGCTTTATATAACCTACTAACTGGATCTTGGTCACAGAAGATCAAGCTTGGCAGACTTCAGGGAGCTCTAAGATAGTTGAGGAGCTGGAGCATGGATGGCTCTCTAAATGAAGAGTAGTTGGTAGACCAGAAGCTCTAGGTAAACTCACTCAACAATCCCATGTAAGATTTAAGTTCTGAGTCATTAAACTGCCTCATCAGTAAGTAGCACATTTCTGCTGTTTCAAAACACCAAGTCTTTTTCACTCTGAGTGAACAAATAAACAAAAGTCCCCAAATACAGAGAAGGCACCTGGGGATCTATTACAGACACTACCTTCTGTGAGGAAAAATTACACACAAGTAATTTTCTTTCCTTTAAGAGGGGAGGAATTTTGTAATACACTTCTATGCCTGAAGGCTGAAAAGCTCCAGGGATGTCTGTGAAATAGAATAAAGCAACACAAGTTTTGTTAAAATTATAAAAGAGGGAAATGATTTTTCAAAATAAAATGCAACTTGGTGACAAAGCTTAATATATCTCCAAGATGCTGAAAATCCACAACTCTGACAAAAGTCAAAAAGAATTATAAGTGCTCATAAAATTGCACCCTCAATGTGTCAGTCAAAGAAGGTGCAATTTTAGCAGAAGGATCTCACCAACATCATAAAGAAAATGGAGACAAAAATAGCACCAAAATCACAAACAAATAGCAGCAATTGAAGTGCAAAGACACCCAAACAAATATGCAAAGGTAAAGACAGAATTAGGCTGTTCTTTGCCTCATGCAATTAGAGACAAACATTGATAACTCAAACTTGGATTCATGGCACAGGGCTAAATCCAAGCAGAAGAGCTTTAAATAAGTATGCAGAGAATTTCTATCTGCTGCCTTGCAAATCTGCAGTCAAGTGGGGAGGTCTGGCTCTGGCTATTATCACTGACGTGCCTCTCACCACCCAAAGTGACCCTGAACATTCATGCCTGCTAAGCAATAACAGCATGAAATACAATCAGACATACATTCAAATGCATTTCTTCTTGGACACAGCTTGGCCTACAGTAGTGTAGATAGAGGAAATAAAAGAAATTGCTGGATAGGCTTAAGATTTAGTCCACTGCAGATAGTAAAAAAGGCAAAATGCAGTGCTATAGTCCAGCTCATGTGTAGATATTCAATAAAGGAATCTTGTTAATCTTTGAGACATTTTGCCTTACAGAAAAATATAAAAAGTTAGCTTACAAAAAAAAAACCTAAACCAAACTAAAACAAAACCAAAAAAACTCCAAATCAAACCTAAAAACAAACAACAACAAGAAAAAAGAAGAACAAAAAAATTAACCCTATGAAAACCCTATTTACTTTATTCCATGTCAAAGGAAAAGATGCAGTGTAGAAAACAAGTCCTCTTGTGAAATGAAATGAAGATTTGATAACTGAGGCAGGTGCTAGGATAATTCATCTGCAGAAAGGCCTATGCCATCTGCTGGTGAGACAGTTTAATGGCTCAGCTTTTCAAGTTCTGAAGAAATTCAGGAGCTCAAACTCTATCACTTAATTTTTTATACGCCTCTCATAGAAAGCACACCTCACAAATTGAACCTGATGTCCTTACCTACTAGTTGTGAACTGCTTGCTTCATTCTACTAATGGATCACTAACCTTACAACAGCCACCCAAATCCAGGCAAATAACTATTGTCATTTACACAAGTCCTTAAGTGCCATTGTGACACACTAGAAGTCATCAAATTAACAATCTTAACAGATTACCGTAACATTAAAATTTTGAGAAGGCTTCTAAAAATAATAGCAAAATCGCTACCATGTTTATCCATGTGAATTCAAGACATAGATTTAAAAACATGAATTTACCTTTTATTTAGATTAATTCAGCAAGTGCTAATTAAAATTTTTGAAAGGGAACTGTTAACACTAGGGTAGTTTTGTTTGTAAATAACAGGAGTAGTCATTGATTTCATTTAGGCAGACCACAGAGGGCACGATGCTGAAAACACGGATGATTCACAGCTACGACCCAGACTCCGTCTCCTGGCAAGAATCACACAAATTCTATTTTGCAACCCTAACTTCCAAAATTGCACTCAAATATGTAAGCATTCTCTACAGGAACAGAATTAATTTTTAGCTTGGTCTTCCTTGTGAAATGAGAACTGAAGTAATAGCTTCTCCTTAAAAGCAATCAAAACATAATTTGCTCAGACACATACCTGTTTGATACTGTGTGCAATGAACCACACCATGAAGATTCTGGAACTCACTTGGACCCCAGTCACAAGCACAGATGTGCGAACTATTCCTTAAAAAGAGAAACATGTTATCTCTGCTCCACAGTTCATGTTTTAACTAGCTACAGGAGAAACTAAAACAAAGAACTCACCAACTGCACAGTGGATTACCTGTAAATAAAAATGTCAGAGGTTACTGATGTGTGGCATCAGTTACTAGCTACCTTATAAACATGGCCTTTTGACATTAATATAAACCTAGGCTCAATTCTGGATTTTGTCTCCCACTAACAGTCTTAAAAAGAAATACATGGCAGAGCCCTGGCAATCAGTGTTGGGATGGTCCCATCTGAGCTGTGCAAATACATGAACAACATTTGTTTTTCAATTTAATTGTAAATATTAGACATTTATATACTTACAAAGCATTTTTTTCAACTAGTAAGCTTATCTTCCTTTACCTTACTCAAAGAACAATTTTACAGGACAGTGTAGAGGAAGTCACATAAGGAATGCTAACCACACAGCAATTTTAAAATGTTCTACATTTATTACAGATTATTAACATTAATATACTTTTGTCAATGACAGCTATGAAGCTTGAGATACAAAGTATTTTCTGGTCAGTAATGTTTAGCAAATGAAGAGCTTTTCATAATTTTGGCAGGTTTGAATAGAATTACAGTGAAAGTTTAACAGCACAAAAGCTTATATGCAGCTGATGACATGAGTTTAACAGTTGTTTGAACAAGAATGTTGTAGGCAGATTGAGAAAAAAAATTAAAATGTAGATAGACATTCTTTGCTGTGCCTGGGAAAGAACTGCAAGTGCTCCATAAACCCAGCAATAAAGCTTCATTCCACAGATGTACCAGAACTGAGACCAGTAGTGTACAGTTTGCAAAAGTATTACTTAAAGAATGCTTTGCAAATCTTCCACAGACCCTGTAGCAATGGGTTATATGGGGTGTGTGAATCCCATCTTTAAATAAGTAGAAGCAGGAAAGGCAGAGAAGGATAGTAAGTCCAGTATAAAGAGTATATTCTTTATATATACTCAATCTCTGAGATGGTGATATCTACTACACTAGAGGGCTGATCTGCTGGCTGTAATGCCTTCAAGATTTTGCCTTTTGCATTAAAGACTCTCAAATCAAAGCAGTTCCCAGGCACTGACTTAAAGAAATATTAGAATTAAATCTGAAAAACACATGCTGATTTGTTTCAAGTAATCACCTCGTCCCACCCCCAAAACTTCATTAAATAATAAAGTAAAAAGGACTTTTAGAACTAATATAATATTCTTATTTTAAATTCAGGAAAATAATGTGTTTTGCCTATGATATGCAGCATCCAGTAAAGCAAACTAATGTTTAAAATTTACCTCAAGCAAAGCAAATGTCTGGAAAAATTTAAGCGTCTTTTGAACGCTTCTGAATAAGCCTCTATGTGTTCCTTTCTGTATATAAAACCGCACCATGGCAATACCTAATACCAGCCACCTATAAAAGAAAGAGAATGGATACATTTCAAATTAGAATTCTAAAAATATCCATCCATTGTAAATAATTTAGTAGAGTAGTTTTCTTCCCAGGTTAACTTTGATTCTTCACTTGTTGGTGTTCTTAGATAATGAAAAAATATCTTTAGACATAAATAGTATATAATATTATGTAAACATTACACTCATCTCTTTACTTGGAAAATAATGGAGAATAATTTGCTGCCTTCTGAGGATTGACTAAATTGAGGGAACCCCCCAAAACCACCCATCCATCAGACTTTTCTCCAGCAGCGACTACGTATTTTTATGTAAATGTTTATGTATCTATTAAATCCTCATGCATCTTGACTATTAAATACTGTTATTTGAAACCACATGGTGAGCTTGGCGCTGAAGTCACTGTTTGAGTTACAAGTTTGTCAAAGGACTGGAATTTATGCACGTCAGTTTTACATTTTTCATGGTCTCTCAACTCACTGATTTCAGGACTGACTAGTGATTTTAATGCTCCTGTTTGTGATTGTCCAAACAAAGGTACCACCATAATTATGTTTTCCAAAGTGTTGAGAAGTGTTTTAAAAGTTGACTTAAAAATCAGATTCCAAAGTGCTGAGAGATGGATGTTCTATGCTCCTGACCTCAAGAAACATATTTAACGAGCACATTTGAGGGTGTTGGATAAATTTATTTTGTTTTTTTTAGGAAACTGAACAATGATGCCAACTAATAACCCTTCCAATGTAAAGAAAGAAAAAGTAACAGTATCTTTTAATCATAGTAGAATTTGACATATAATTTAAATTGAGATTTAGAATGGAAATTGAGATAAAAAATAAACATCTAAATTGTGGGTTGATCCCACCACATGCCCAGACACTGTAAAATAATCCAAGGCATGAGGAATACCTTCCATGTAATAAACCCATTTTTATATAATAAGGATTTTCAAAACAGCGTACTATATTTTCCTTAATCATGGGATTGATTGGGTAGGAATGGACCTTAGAGATCATCTAGTTCCAACCCCCTCTGCCATAAGCAGGGACACCTTCCACTAGACAAGGTCACTCAGGGCCCCGTCCAACCTGGCTTTGAACACTTCCAGGAATGGGGCATCCAGGAGTTCTTTGGGAAACCTCTGCAAGTGCCTCACCACCCTCTGAGTAAAGAATTTCTTCCCAATATCTAATCTAAACCTGCCTTCTTTCAGTTCGAACCCGTTACACTTTATTCTAGTGATAGTCTCTATCACTACAGGTGCTTGTAAAAAGTCCCTCACCAGCTCTCTTGTGGGCTCCCTTCAGGAACTGAAATTATGTCACCCTGGAGCCTTCCATTCTCCAGACTGAAAAACCCAACTCTCTCAGCCTTTCAGACCTACACTCCATTCTTAAAACATCACATCAGCAAGAAGACTGAAAACTTCAGGTTTCAATCAAAAAAAACTAAGAAAGTACAAAAATTCTTTAACATAGACATAGGCATAGCAAGAGCTATGGATGGCTATTTGGAGAGGTAAAAATAAAAATCAAAAATGACAAAAATTTTAGTTTAATGTCTTCTCTGAAATTGCTGGGAACAATTACTCAGTCCTTTCACTCTCCACAAAGCCATGGCAAGTATATTCCGCAGCAACAAGAGCTCTGGCTAAGGAAGGGCCCAAGTGACAAAGCAGAAGGGCTTCAGAAATACTCAGAGACAGGTTCAGAGAGATTACAAACATCAGCGAAATATTTACATAAACACTTGGACAAATGTTTAACTCATCCTCCTGCAGTCCTCCCTGAGCATAAGGTATAGGCTAGCACTGGAAACAGGGTACCTGGACACAGCAATGTTTGGTCAGACCCCCTGTGCCTGGATCCTGACAGCTCCTGGCTCACCTCGCATGGCACGGACGTCAGTGCCAGCCCCTCTACAGCTCCCTAGCACGGCGGCCTCTGCTATGCAGCCACTTGGTGTGCCCCATTCCAGCACTTCATGACAGCATTTCAAACTCACATAGAGCTAGTCAGGCTTCCCCACACAGCAGGAATGATTCCCCTCTTTGATCCCTTCTACTTTAAGCCCGTGAATCTGATCTGTCAGCGCTCCAAAATTTTCCCCTGCAAGTGTTACTTAGATTTTATAACAGATTTTAAATATGAGTGCATTTATTTCAGGTTGTCTCCAACCACTGTGGAAACGAAGAATTACTGGAATATCACTGGAAGTCTTTCACAGTGGAGCTGCTCCGTTTTACAGTGAGGTGTTTGACAAGAGGAAGGTGATGGTGAATTTACATCCAGCTGGCAGCACAAATGTGGCAGCAACAGCTCTGTATGTGACTTAGACTGTGAAGTCATAATATATTTAATCTAACAAGGCATTTTCTGCATATCATTCCACAACCAAAGCATAAGCATTGCAGAGAGAAGTAATCTTGGACTACACTCAGAATCAAAGATAGCAAGTGTATTTTTCTTAAAGGATTTTTTTATGTGGACATAAATTTCTGTAGATAGATTTATTCAGCTGTTGATGGCTTTGACTTTGGATCTCAGGAAAGTCCTCATACTGATTATTACAAATCACCAGGAAATGGAAAACACCTTCTGTAATAAAGGCAGCATCTCCAGTTGGGACTTTCAGCAAAACTGAGTATTGATCTGTCATTTTAGTCCCTTAAATCTGTTTAGAGACAAAGATAGGCTGCAGATTTTTTTATCAGAATGGTTGTTAACATGTAGTTATGCATTAGTTTGTTAAAACTCCAGAAACATTTTGATATATTGCACTACCACCTGGACAACTGGACAAATATACTGTTCTAGTTAAATATTTATCCTGCGTAGTGTCTCTGTTAAGTATACTTGTATTTCAGATATGTATTTTTCTCTTAAATTGTGCCCATAAATGATTATAAGAATTTATTCCAACCTCTTTTATTTCTGTTTCCACATAAAAAAATCCAATTTTGTGTGCCCTAATTTCTTTTGATATTAATGGAAAATGAGAGAGAAGGAAGTGGGAGATACTGATGCAGCACCTAAGGTCAAAACTAATATGGTTCGATAATCTTTTAGAGACATGTAAAAGTCAGTGGCAAGAGTCAGTGTTCATTAGCAAATTCACACATGGAGCACAAGACTGGTAATTCAATGAGGTAACATTAACCTCACGTAAAAGCACTTTTCAAAAAGTGCTGCAATAATATATGAGCAGACTTTAATAAATAATCAAGATTCACAGTTGCTAGTGAGAAGAAAGCCATTACGATCACATTCCTGGCTTTCTCCAGCAGTGCTTGAGCTCCTGCCTCAACTGCGGCGTGTTAGTTTTACTCTACGGGATTCAAAGGGCAGTGAGACCACCCATTAGTAACCAAAGGAAAACTGTTCTCATGATGAATATCACACTAGAAGTTGTAATTTTTTTCATTCTTAGCTTTCTTTTAAACACGTGGAAATGGACAGGTTGAAGTTTTTTCCCCCAGGAGTTAGTGAACAGTGAAAATCTTCAAGAAGTGAGAATATGTGCTTCAAGAATTAACAACATAAACCTGACTGCCCTCTTTTCTGATAGCAAAGCCTCGCAGCACGGAGCACAAGCTCAAAGGAACCTCCCGGGCTACTGCTCTGCGTGCCCCGGTCCCCGCTCATCGCTCCTGCCCGCGGGCCGGGCCGGCTTTGGACAGCTCTGCCCGCCGGGAGCCGGGGCGGGCTCTGCTCGCTCACAGCCCGGGCGCACCGACCGCCCCTCGCGGGACCCCGGCCCCGGAGCCGCCGGGCACCGCGGAGCGCTGCCGGCTCCCCGCGGGCGCCCAGCAGCCCCGTCCGCATCCGGGAGGCCGCGCCGCGGGACGCGGCTCCCCCGCCCGGCATGCCGGTCCCGGCTATACTTAACCTCCGCGGCGGGCGCGGGGTGACGCGCCGGCGGCCGGCAGCGCTGCACCGTATTAGGCAATGCTCGGCAGGAGAGGGGAGCCCCGCTGCCGGCGGCTCCCCCGCGTCCCGGCTCTCCCGCCCGGCTCCGCCGGGCCCCCGCCTCGCCCCGGCCGCGCCGCCACCGCTCCGCCGCTCCGCGCCCCGCGCCGCCCGCGCCCGCTCACCCCGCGGTCATGGCGACGTTGTAGAAGATGAGCCATGTCGTGGCCAGGACGCCCAGTTTCTTCTTCTTCTTGCCGTTCTCCTTCTCCTCCACGGCGCCGTTGCCGCCTCCGTCCTCCTCGCTGGACGCCATGGTTCCCCGGCCGGGAGCGTGGGGAGGAGGGGCTCCCTCCGCGGCGGGGCTGGGGCCGCGCTGACAGCCGGACCGGGCGCTGTCTCTCACCCCATCTGTCTTCCCCGAGGGCCGCTGCCGCCGCCAGCGGCTCACATGGCCCTGCTGCTCCTCCCTCCTGCGGGCGCTGCGGGTCTCCCCGGGTCAGCCGGAGCCTGCGGGGGCGGGTGAGCCCCCATCGCGGGGAGATCCTGATGGGACGGTACCTGGCGTCAGGCAGCAGCGGCGGGCACAGCCCACCTCAGAAAAGGTGACAGAAAATAGCGCAGTTCTCGGAAACACAGAAATAGGTGTCTGAGACTGGGAACACCTGGGAGTCTGACCAGAGACCGACTGGTGGGAATATGCCCAGGCCCCCGCCTCGGAGGCCAAACAGCCACCTGCCAGGGTGACAGTCTGGTAGGTCTCCATAAATACCACCTTCAATACATGAGGAAGACTAAGGCTCCCACCTGAGAAAGGGAAATTTCTTCCAAGGGCACCCAGGGCTCTTCTGAAGAGCACCCAGTTGGTAGACTGAAGGATGAGATTTGAGTAAGCAGGTTACCTTGTAAATGTCTGCTCTCTGTGCGAGTGCAAAGGGAAGCTAAGCCAGCACAGGTAGCATTGCTGGGACAGGCTCTGGAAGGGGGAAAGCCTTAGCCTGAGCTAATGTGACATGATGCTTCAAAAGTGTGGGCTGCATCCACTATCCTGACACCTGCACAGTCTCTGCAAGCTTGGGGATGCAGGCTCCTCATTTCCACAGTTCAGCATGGTGACCATGACCTCTCAGCCCAAATACCTCAGACACAGGCATAAACAGTCAGAAGAATTCAAAAACTGGGTCAGGATATCTTTGAAATGCTACTTGTTCAGCAGAATTTAAAGAGTTCAAGTCTATCTACTTTAGAATGGGGTGAGTATTTCAAGGCTGAAGACACCTGGATGTCTCAGGTTGAGGGCCTGCATGTAAAGATAAGTAGATGTGCCAAACAAAACCTAAGTCTGGCCCTCCTCACCAAAGCACACAAGCAGATTTCAGCCTCAAAACACACACCCACTGGCAACAGCAAATGTATAATGTGCAAAATGAGTAGCTAGCAAAAGAGCATATTATGTATGTTCTTAGATTACACTAGGTACCAATATTACACATACACAGATGCTTTTTGTGTTCAAGTGATAAATATAATCCAGTTTAAGAATCCTGTAGTTAAAAAATCAAGACAAAGAATTTACACACAGGATTGAATGACCCAACTCAGAAGTTTTTGCCAATACAGGTTAATCTGAGCCTACATGTCATCTCAATGTGACAGCTGTAAGTTGGTTTAAACTTTAGTTTTCAAAAAAATTTTCAATATTTATTATTTTAATTCTGGATATTCTTGCTATCTTACTTGCACATTTTCTCCACTTGAATTCCTCTTTCTTCAAACCATTCTAACGTTTTGGCTTTGACAATGTAGGGTGGAAAGAGGCATCAAAAATTAACCACATGTTATGAGTAAGGTGGTTTTTTTCTCATTTGATTTTGTCAATTTATTAATTCATTAACTGATGAAGACTTTCTTAAATTATGATACATGGAGAAAGGCATGATTCATTTCCAATTTTTAATATCAGTTAGGGGTTTTTTTTACTACTTTTAGCTATCATTTGCTATGTTTCTTTTGAGGTTTTTCCACAGCAGATTTGAGGCAACAAATCCTATTTTCTTTCTGAAGTAAAAATTTTCCATTTTTAAATCCCTTCTTGGGTGTTTTCCATGCTTTTGATCAGAATCTTTTGAAATTTGATAAGCAGTTTGTCTGATTCTCATCAGAATTCTGTATTACTTTCCTTCCCCTATTTATTTGCTCAGATTTATTGATTTTGGGTGTACACATTATCTGTTATGATGACTGGGTTTGTCTTCAGTTAATTTACTCAATTCAGAACTCAGTGGTGAGGATAAGTGTCTCAATGTATTTGCTCTAATATTGTGGTTGCTGTTTATTAAGCTTACAGTTTCTATTGCTATCACACCACTCATTCACCCAATTGATGAAAACTTTCTGAATATCCCCATAATCTTTTCTTAGATTGAAATAAATGAAACTTTTTGTTCCATTTGCAAGATTTGTCATTCCCATTTGGCTGTTTCCCAAACATACATTAAAGTATTAAGCACAAAACATATCACAGAACTTTCATAAAAACCCCACTGCTGTAATTTTGCTGTAATAAAGTTGCTCGTTTCTATTTCCCATGTTTTAATCCATGGAGATATTTTATTCCTTAATCTGTAGCTACTTCATATCCTGGGTCGTTCCTGTGTGACATTTTTTCAGCAGCATCATCAAAGCATATTTGTTGTGTTAATTCTTTTTCTTTTTTTACAAATCTTTTTATATAATTGCATGTTCCAGGAATTTCAATAAATTAGTTGAAATGCAATTTCTTTTTCATAAGTTTCCTACTGTTATTCTTTAAATCATTATATCTGCCAATTATAATCTATATATTTGTGGCTATTAGTCTGTATTTTCTGAATCCTTTACTTAAATTTGATAAAGTGTCAGCTATTTTCAAAGCATTAAATTAAGTACAGTATCTTTACTTAATTAGAAATAATGTTTTTATAATAGCAAAATTTTCATCTAATATTTCAACTTTGGCTAGCACCTTTGGATCCCCAAAAATCTCAAAATTATTAATAAGATAGATTTTCTTTACAGACAGAAATTTAATCAATAGATGTGAATAAGCTTATATACTAATTGCACTATCTAAATCAGCTTTTAAAATCAGTTATGACCAGTTTATCAATTGAGGTGAACTTTGTTGTTATTCAAACACAAACTAACCTTTCCAATAAATTTCAAGACAGTCAGCTCAAGGTCTTTCATGTTGTAGGTGAGAGCATCATTGTGTTTCATATTTATTCTCAACCTTCCCTGGAAGTTTACCTTTACTTAGTATAGCTCCAAATCATCAACACTGCTATACTGTTACTACAAAAATAAGTGGTTTTCTTGGTCTTCTTCATAATATTTATTACCAATATATATTTTACTTCTAGATTCCTATTGCACACACAGATACTCAAAACCTTATAGAGCTGAATAAACCTTATAAAATTTTTACTTCCAATCTATTTCCAGAAATACAAAGTGAAGCTTATATGAGATTATTTTCCAATGAAATGTTCTACAGTGTTCTGGGGGTTTTGTTACAAAATTTATGTATTCATTATGGAAACACTTCTATGGAATGAAAAATTGTAGTGCTCTGAAAAAATTATAATGACTTAGCAGCTCCACTATCACAGGGGAAACTCATCTACTACTGAATGCTTCAAGAACTACTTGATATGAACCCTGCAGATTTACCTTTATACTTCAGACTAGTTAAGTGTTATACAGTAACTTAAAATCCTGGCAAGAGGAATTTGTTAAAAATCTTAACAGCTTCGATTCTACTTGTCCTTCTGCCCTGTCTTCAGTTAAGGTTCCCAACACACTGCAAGAACAATGTGTTTAGACAACAGAGTTTATACATCCTACTCTACTTGTACACTATTCTAGGTTTATGGTATGCAGGACTCAATGGGATATTCAAGAATAAATGCAAGTAAACAGAATTTTGTATACTTCTGTTATAAAAATACAAAAATTTTGGTGTGAACGTTTAAATTTTTTTGTATGGAAGTTATTGATTCTACATATCTGAAACCTACTGGCTTATTAAATGTTCTGAAAAGCATATTAAATCTGGGATGCCCTTGTGTACTCTATTTAATCCTCTCCAGGAATAAAACCATAATGCAAACTGCAGTGCTGAAGAACAAACAGATGTTAAAGTGAGATGGCTATCCTGCTCATTTGAGTTTGGTTAATCTGAGTTTTTGATTTATCCAAACTCAGTGTACTTTTTGCTATAACAGACTAATTGAACAATGTAAAACAATTATTTTCTTTATAGGATATTTTAGATATGATGTGATCTGTGCAGTTGGAATCTTTGCACACCCGCTGTATCAAGAAACTAACTACACTTTAATATTCTAATTTTGTTTGTGTATATATATACATATAATGATTAAAACTGAAATTAGTACTATTAACTTCAATTGTACAGTTCCTGTGAGTAAAATATAAATACACTTTGGAAATTACCTGGTAGCATAAACATATTCTTAAATCCCTTTTCTATATTATGCAATAAAAGTAATATTCTTCCTCTAAAGAAGCTTTTCCACCTTTCCCAACAGATATCAGGCAAATTTTTTACAGGGTTTCACAAAACACACTTCAATAATATTAAAAATGCCTTCTGATTTTCTGTATATTTCAATGGTAGCTTGCTTGTGTGAGAACTACAACCTCTATAGAGGAGACCACTTCCATTATTAGTTTCAGAGCAGGCAGAATCTTAGCTTGTTATTTAGTTTTATTTCAAGAGCTTGAATTAAAAAGGACTCTTTATCAAGTGAGTAGTGTTCCAATCTGATGCCTGCTGTGGTCAGTAGAAGTATTTCTATTTCTTTCTTCAAAGAGAAGCAAAGAACAAAAAGATTAATTTAAACCTCATCATTGGTTGAAAACTGGTCTGAGTTATCAGCATGAAAAAGTGACCATACTGGGTGTAGTCAGTTTGGCCACACTGAGAACAGGTGTTTGTGCCAAAAAAAGCACTAGGACAAGTGGTTCCCTAGAGCAGTGTCAGGAAGCTGGCACAGAGTGATGCTCTGGCCAGCATCCCTCGGGAAGCCCAGGCGCCCAGAGATCCCAGCAGCCAGCACCTCACAGGTTATCTGCCTTTCACAGGTATCTCACAACACATTACCATAAGAGTGCTTAAAGAATAGCATAGACACATTTTTGTGTTTGACTTCAGTGAACTTGTTATTCAAATCAATTTAACAAAACTTCAGTGTAAATACATGAAGTATTACTTCATGTGAGTTGCTTTGGAATTACTGCTTTGAATTCAGAGAGACTGAGGAAGATATAAACCCTCGTTTCTGGCATCTGTGTGCAAATGTTAACTAGAAGGTTGCACATCACAATTTTTAATGTGGACAGGGCAAAATGAACTATTTTATGAAATTTATTAGTAGAATCTTTGCCTCATTCTAAGATTACATGGGTTTGAAGGAATTCCAGTTATATTCTTCATATAATCCTACTTGCATACTTCATAAATATTAAGACAAAAAGGGACAATCAAATAATTTTAGCCTGATTTCCTAACAGCAGACACCAGACTTACTGTATTGATGTGTTTCATATATTTTCTCTATACATAATGAAATAGATAAGAATACTGTAAGCCATTCTGCTTGGACACTTGCAAAATATTAGAATATACACAATAAGATTATAGATGGGAAGTAAATCACTGTGGTCCAGTAGCTAAAGCATTTACATGTGCCCTGTAACTAGGAGACATTTTGTCTTTGTCATATCACCATATCATTATGCAGTACAGCATCTTGTATGCCATCCAAAACATTTTGTACTTGCCCTGTCAAAGACAAAAGCTGTGATTAAATGGACGGCTGGCACTTGCTCTATTCTGAGCCTTTCTGTTTTCCTTTGATTATCCTTTCTTCACAGCTTCCAGTTCCAAAAGCAATGTACACAGTGGACTATAATGAAAATGCAGTTAAAATAAAGGTCAGTGGGACTGATTTGTGAGACTAAATGAATGGGCATTACAAATAAAATACTACCCCAGCAAACTGGAGCTGCAGTGGGCCCCCATGGCTACAATGGCACTGTCTTATTTTAAGAAAATGCTTGTCTAATGCAGATGAGTGTCAATTGAGTGATGGTAAAGAACATTAGAACTTCGCCAGCAGATTGTTATTTACAAGTTGTTCCTCTTAGGTATCCTTTCCTACTGAAGACGATAGAGAAATGAATAATTGTATATTATCAGAATCCAGAACTTACCTTCATGTGGATAAACTCTTGTCATCATTTAAGAAATAAGTAATAAATTATATAAACAAACAACATAAATAAAACAATGAAATTTAGATGTATGTCACATCTAAAATCCAAGAAGTGTGTTATGCTGGAAATTAACTGAATACCTGCCTTTATGAGACTCCACCTGGAGTACTGGATTCAGCTCTGGACACCCCAACATAAGAAGGATGTGGACCTGCTGGAGTGAGTGCAGAGGAGGCCATGAACAGCAGGCTGGAGCAGCTCTGCTGTGGAGATGGGCTGAGAGAGTTGGCGCTGTGCAGACTGGAAGGAGAAGGCTCTGGGAGACCTCATTGCAACATTTTGGTATCTGAAGGGTGCCTGCAAGAAAGGTGGAGAGGGACTTTTTAACAAGGACATTGTAGAGACACAGCAATAAGACAAGGGGTAATGGCTTTAAAGTGAAACAGGGTGGATTTAGATGAGATATTGGGAAGAAATTATTTACTGTCAGGGTGGTGAGGCTCTGGAACATGTTGCCCAGAGAAGTTGTGGGTGCCCCAAACCTGGCAGTGGTTCAAAGATTAAACAGGGGTATGATTAGCCTGGTGTAGTGCAAAGTGTCCCTGCCCATGGCAGGGGGATTGGAACTAGAATATCTCTAACCCAAGGCATTCTATGATCTCTCACCTGTATGTGAACAACAGCACTATATAAAAAGAGAAGTGTGCAAAGAAAAAAGAAATGTCTGCACCAGTTGTCTGAAACTGCTTATTTCAAACAGAAGTAGCACATATTTTAAAAAAAACCCACCCTACTTAAAACTTGCTATAAGGCTGGCCAGAGACAAGCCCTGAGTCAGAGAACTGTTGGACAGATAGACTCATCTGTGAAACCAACAGAGTCACTGTTGCAGAGGCCATCTTCAGAATGAGGTCCAAAATAGAACAGATGAATAATCCCTTGGACATGCCTGTTTTTCCTGACCCAGACTGCTGCAGTACTGTCCCCAGCCATGCCTTCCCACCTCTTCACATGCCTGATCTAATTCCAAGGTGAGTCAGAGGTGTGACATGATCCAACAGGGAACTTCTCTGCAGTGAGGTAGTTTTCAGCTGGATCAGCTGATTGTGCAACCACAAATGAAATGGATCAAATTCCAAATCTAATACAAGAAATGTGGTGGCAGCACATAGTTGTGGGCACAGGGCAGTGTTGCTACAATCTCTTTCAGCTGTAGATCCCCCAAAATTAGATGCAATTTGAGACTGAACCTTTGATCTATACGCCTTACTTTTAGATAGCTAACTTGGGCAGCAGTAGGAAATAATACAAGCATTTTGAATTACATCCAGTAAAGATGTAGTTCACACCTGTTTATTAATAGTATATAGATTAACACACCTGTTCTTAATAGCATATTCATTATACTACTCACACATAAAGTGGAAAAGCTGGTTTCTATAGCCATTTATGTCTGAGAGGGCAAACCCTACACTTCCTGGGAGAGTGCTCTACCTACCACCCATTGCTTACCATGGAAAAATGATAGAGCCATGAGACAGGGAAAAGAGAGAGATACAATACAATACAGAGTTTTGGAAGGATTTCACACTATGTCTACAGTAAAAAAATCATTACGGAATCAAAATATGAGCCATGATTACAGACCCTTGAGATGCTTCCTGGTACAGACTGCCTTTTTACAAAATGTTGAGTAGGGTACTGGGAAGGAAAGTTGGGTTGGAATGCTTTTAGGCTGAAGGCAGTCTAAAACCCCAGTTCTCCATGAGTGTTTTGTTAGCACTTCCTGCAGAACTACTGAATAAAAGCTCTGCTTATTTTGAAAGGTTTCCTAATTTTGAACCCATTAGAAAGAAGGGATGAGAAAGGAGGGGATAAAACAGGCTCAAAGAGCATCTACCATATGTCTTTTGTGAACATAATGGGGGATGATGAATGGGGAGGAGGTAAAGCATCCTCTGAGGATATCTAGTCATTGAATTGAGGTAGAATACAAAGAAAACATGCAATTCCTTACAAGCAGCCAGTTCTACACTGTAGATCAGTGCTGACCTGCATTAACTGCTGAAAACAGTTTCTATGGGTAGGCAAAGAAACAGAACTAGAGGTCTGGGAAAAACCTATAGTAAAAAACCAAAGTGCCTAGTGACTGTAAATCCTTGCGGGAAGAGGCTTGGTATGCAGTTCTCATTTGATGTGTCAGAAGTCTGCCTAATGCACACAATCACATTCATTATTGAGCATGGTTAGTGCTATTGATTGATTCTAGTGTTTCTGCCCTCCAAACAGCTTTTTCATTCCTTGTTTGCACGCCTGTGATATGCCCCTATTGCTCTGTGTCTCTTTCCCCAAGTGTATACATGAGCCTAGTTTTACTTAATTTGCAATCTAACTAGTTCAGAGTAATCAAACAGTACTAAAAGGCCTTAAGGTTAATGACTTAGAGTTTTATGTGACAGCAAGAATAGGCAGAACGTGTCTTATCCTATGAGTCATATTGTTAACGTGCGACACACCCCACTGAAGCCAGCAACAGAGGCTTACAAAAATGGAGCACCAAGATAGGCAAGCAGAGGCCACGGGATATTCCAGGCCCTGTGACTAGCTGATAGCGGCTGGCTGCTCTCCATGGGATGTGACCGCGGAGAACGGGTTAGGCTCCCGAGCGATGCTCTGAGGGATGCTGGCACAACCACCAGCCTGCCCTTCGCCGTCAGGCTAACCATGTCACAAACAACATGGCATTACCAATGAAAAGATTCAGTCAGACCAACGTATAGGGAAGCTCCGAAAATCCTGCATAGAAAGCAGATATGGCTGGATACAAAACCAGCTTCCCGAGCAGGGGGGAGGACAGAGCTACATATAACTAAACGATATAAACCTCCGCCTAGGGCAGCCGTGCCGGACTGGGGTGGTGGCCGGGCCGGGCCCGGGTGTCGCTGCCGGGCCCGTGTGTGGCTGGCGGGCCCGGGTGTCACTGCTGGGCCCGTGCGTCGCTGTGGGGCCCGGTGTCGCTGTGGGGACCGGGTGTCGCTGCTGGACCCGGCTGTCACTGCTGGGCCCGTGCGTGGCTGCGGGGCTCGGGTGTCGCTGCCAGGCCCCGCAGCAGGCGGCGGGCCCAGCCCCGGTTCCCGGCGTGCTGCGCGGGAGGCGGCGCCCGGCCCTGGGAGGAGGTGGCGGCGGCTCCTCCTCCCGCCCCGGGCAGCTCCGCCGCCACCACCGAGGGCTGTTCTCTCTCGCCACCGCCGCTGCCGCCGCGCCGCCGGGAGGGGCGGCCGCCCCCCGCCCCGCCATGCCGCTTTTCGCCACCAACCCCTTCGACCAGGATGTGGGTGAGTGGCTCCCGCGGCCCGGCCTCCCCCGAGGTAACCCCGCGGGCGGCCGGCCGGCCCTCCGAGCCGCTCTGGCTCCATCCCCCGCGGGCGGCCGGCCCGCTGTCCCGGCCCTGCGCTGCTGGGCTCGCTGGCGCCCGGCCGGGCAGCGGGAGCAGCGGTGGCGGGCGCGGTGCAGCAGGAGCGGCCGGGCCGGGCCGGGCCGGGCTGGGCTGGGGCCGCGTCCCGGCGGGGGCCGGCCGGGGACAGCGCCGGGGCCCAGTGGCCTTGCGGGCCGCGGGGCTGAGCGCGGGGATGCTCCTGGGGGACAGGCCGGCCTGCTCAGCACGAGAAACGCTGCGGCACAGCAAAACAAGTAGTGCGAAAGGTCCGCTCTGGAGTGTTTTTGAAAGGGTGAACAGTAAAAAGCACCATCTACAGTTGCTCCACAGACAGGCATGAGAAAATCATTAAAGCGTTTTGTATTTAGTTCTCTAAAGGGGATTCCTGTGGGAGCTTTCTCTTTTCCTTTCAAGTAAAGCTTGGCGTGCTGAGCTCAGGTGTTATCCCCACCTTGCTTGTTCCAAGGCCAGACTAGATGGAGAGGAAGTATCTTGCTTTTACTTGACAAAAATTGTACTTAATGCTGATGTGTCGAAACTGAAGATAAAATAATATATAGATAGTTAATAATTAGTTTTGTGTGTTTTATTTGAGATTGTGTAATATGGTTTGTTTTTGACCTGCTGCTGACATCTCTTTTGCTTTGAGCCATAAAGGCTTTGTCAGGGGAATCCCGTAATAGAAAGGGACTTATTCTCCTGTGCGGATAAGTGCACCCCTTGGTTATTGTCCTACAGAAGTGCAACATTGTATAAGTATCTTGAAACTAATTTCTTTGACAGTATTAAACTGGCTGTAACTTTCAACCACAGATACATTGTTTCTAAATGTTGATCAGACTTCTGACGTTCAGGCTCTGATTCAATTCTTCCAGCTCTTCAAAGAAATACCAAGTCCAAACCGTTTGAAAAGTGTGTAACCTTTCAGGAGAAAAGATTAGTGCCCAAATAAAGTACTGAGATATAAAGTCTACATGTATCTTATCAGCAATTCTTAGTTTATTGCATAAAAAATAAGCATAGCTCAGTCTTCTCATTTTGAACTCAACACTTTTAAGTTGAAGACTGTGCTCCAATTAACGCTTTTGTTGGTAGCAAACTTGACTGGCTTATTTTGGAGAGCAGTAAATAATTCTTCTTAGTTGTTCTGCTATCTTCTAGTGTAATTTGGCAGCTGAAGGTGAGGAAGAGATTGTACTGCTTGCCAGTTTTCCATGGACTATTAGAGAATTATTTGAACTAATAAGATTAAAAAGTGATAGGCTCAGGTTCTGGCAGGTGTTCACTTTTTTTCCTCCTAGTGCCTCTGGCTGGCAGGGGAGCTCAGACTGCTTGAAGGGGTCTCTGGAGCTCAGTTCACTGGATGTGCTCCTCAGCTCTGCCAGTCTCAAGGCAGGGCAGTAGCACCCATCAGTTGCTTCAGTGGCTCAGTTGCTCTTTTCCAGGCGCATAAGATGCCAACCTCCTACCTATTGTGCTTGCCTAATATGATCAACAGTGAAGAATTTTCAAAAGTGTTATTCTGTAAACCATATGAGGAGATAGAAATAATCACTCAGTACCAAATCCTTCTGGGAAAAGCAGAGAGTGGGCAATGAGCTGGTTTTCACAGGTAGACAGCCTCTTTCTTTTGGCCCCTTTCATGGTGTCCTGAGGGAGACTGAAGGAGCAGCAGGTTGTCCAGTTGGTGACAGCCTACTTTCAGGAGCCTGCTGCCTTTATCCATCACTTAACTGGATTTGTGCCAGGGAGATGGGAATGATGAAGTCTCCCGGAAAGTGTCCCTGGGCTCTTCTTCTCTGAGGCCCTTTGGGAATTTGCTATTATCTCGATGAATTTTTTGGCAGGCTTCATAAGACAGCATCAGCTGTAGAGTAAGCTATCATGTTCTCAGGAAACTTCCAAAAGTTGTTAAGACATAGTGCTATTTTTCATTTGTTTCCTGTGAGTGAAAGTTGAGTGCTCTGCTTTTGTTCTTAACCAGCAAGAAAGTTTTCTTTTTAAAATCAGATTCCTGAAGCAATAAGGCAGTCAGCAGCTATTCTTAATTTCATATGAATTTGGACATTGGTGTAGTTGATAGTATTGCAATAGCTGTGCATTCTTGTGTACTGAACAGCTGATCAGCACTGTGGAGTAGTTGGAAATTATCTTGAAACAATTTAGGATAATGGATTGCAGAGAACATATCTGGAACTAAATTGTTTTCCATCATTTTGAGGAGCGTAAGTATGTCTTACATTCAGGACAAATTTTTCAGTTTGTCTGGCCAGGTAGCAACATTTGGCTAATCCTGTTAGTATGCTGCTGCAGTGGAACCTGGTCATCCATAATAGTTTACCGTTTGTGCCAACTGTTTTTTTTTTGGTGTAGCTGGCTAAAGAATGTTCTTTAAGACTGCTATTAAATTAATAATACTGAAGAATACCCAGAAATTTGAGAAGGTTAACCATTGTCATCCTCAAGAGTTCAAATCTCTGGATGAAGCCCAAATACTTTACATTTTCTGAAGTTTCTTTTTTACCATATTTAAGAATATTTCAGCAGGAAAGGATGCTAATCAGTGGTGGCACAAGTTTTCACACTCAAGTTGGGGAACCTTTGATGATGTGCCCAAGTAAGAAATGTAATAACGGAATTTTAAAAAAGAAAAAAAATCACCAAGAACTGGGCCTGTTGAGAGTATAATTAAGAAACTCTAATCTTCCATTTAAGGAGTTAGAATTAAAAGTGTTCTTATTAGGTTTGTGGGTTTTCTGTTTCTGCTGTATTTTTCAATCTTAATAATAAAATTATTCCCAGTGAGATGTTTCTGAGAAATGCAGATTCATCTGTAAGTTTGACTCAGGTAAAATAATGGTGACATTTGCTTTAAGAACCAAAAGACTGTCTACTAATCTGTCATGACAGGCTTATTAGTAATCTAGTGGTGCTTAGGCTAGGTTTGATGAAGAACTTACTTCTAAAACAGGTCTCAAGTGTCATTTAGATATTATCTCAAGAATAAAATCTGTAACTCAGGTTCTGGTATAAAATGTCATAGAAATCACACATGATATTAGGAGAAGGTGTTAAAAAACATGGTGGATTAGGTTGTTTTTCTTTTTTCCTTACACACAGTAAAGGATGAAGGTATTTGCACTTGCTCTGGATGTTACTCTGGATGGTTTGAGGCAGCACAGGATTGAGAAGAAATTCAGGCTTGTTATTTACAGTAATAGGAAATTAGGCAGGTGGTTTGGTAAGATAGTAGAACTTGATGTGACTTGTAATCATTTTCCCCATGTTTTATTAACTCTAGCAGTTGTTGATAATTTTATGCTATCGACTCTTCAAATATTTAATAATATGCTTGAATTACATATGATCACCTACAGTTCCATGCTTTTAGAATGTAAGAAATGGTTTGACCATGATTCCCATGGTGCAATTTCTTGAAATAAAATCCTCTTGCTATTTAAGCTCATTAAATAGCAAGAGGATTTTAATAACGATTTTTAATAAATTTAAGTTTTTTAGATTTATCCCCTTGCTTAGTCAACATTTTCAAGACATCCAATTACATGTCTCTCTGAGCTGAATGTTTTTGTTGGGCCAGGTTTGCCAAAAGAAGGGGAAATTGTCATAGATGAGTTTCTTGACCCCAGATCATTATGGAGACTGCAGACTGTGAGTTAACATCTGGCTGCAAAGAAAGATGAATTCCAAAGATTTGTTCAGCTTGTCATGAGACTGGCAGTTTTTTGCCTGAGTTGGCCTACTGTTTATCTCAGCTTTGTTTTACAAAGGACATTAACTGTGGGCTAACAGAGAGACTGAGTAGAAAATGTGTGGAAAATGAGCTATATTCTCCCCCCTTTCCAGTAATTTATAAATATTTATGAAAAACAGGAACTTCTTAGTTAAAGATACCTTTGGTGATAGATCCTCAGTGAAAAATGGCAATGCTGACAGGATAAGACTAAGTGGAATACCCCTTCAGTGCATCAGCCAACAACAAAAAATTCTTTTCCACTGTCAATTAGCAGGCTGCCAGTTCAGTTGGGCATAGGATGTTCCATAGTGAAAGATTGTACTTTTCTGGTAATTCTCTTTCTTTCCTCCCAGGGAAGAACTGTCACTTAGGTGGTTCTCCTTTCAGCTATGACAGTGTGTATTATAATACCAAAATTTAAAAGAATCAAAGTAGATCTTCAACATGTAAAATCTGTTCTTCTAACTGATAAAAATAACACTGCATTCCTGATGTGGAAAATTAAGTTTCTTGCTGATCTTCCTTCTGAAATGCTTCTTGTACTGTGGCTTGGCTTGTGGGCTTCTGCAAGCATATCCTGGCACCTTTTCTTCACATGACATGCCTGTGATACACCTTGTTTACAGACTATTCATCCTTCTGATGTATCTGTAATGTGCTCACCTTCCTGTTGTGTTGTAATATTTCTGGGTGAAAGGCAGTGTGAGTTCTGTGGATTTGTTAGGGTTTGTGTGAGAGATCTAAACATCTAAATTATTTTTGCTCAGCTAGTCTTAAAATTTCAGCCTTTTTTAACCAGGTTGGGAGTCCTTTTGTCAACATTCTGCTCAGTTCATTGAGCTGAGGGATGTTCATTTTTGCTGGGCCACTGTAAGCACGGTGAGATCCTGCACAGTTTTCTGAAGGAATGGGCTGAGGTGGCCTCAGTCACTGCTGCTGGCTTTGCCCTGGATCAGCTGCAGGGCTTTCACCTCCTACAATTGCCCCCAGAAGGACTTGGGAACACTGCACATGTAACAGTGAAACTGCAGATGCTGGTTAATAGCTTTATCAAAGTTAATGGTACATGGAATTCAAGTTTCTCTCTATGGTGTCATTGCCTGTTAGGAGTATTTTCAGTCTTGGCCAAATGAAATCTGGTTGGA